TATCGAGTGGATAGTGCTACTCAGCTTTCGTACATGTGGCCTTGAGCCATATTCTTATTGAAGAATTGCAGTAACTAATTTATCTGTCTATAAGATTATAACGTCCAAATATTTGAACTATATGGGGCGTGAAGTTGAACTTGTTTCATCCACACTTGGTTATAATATTTATAAACCGATCTGCCGATATCAAAAACCCGGCCTTAACGCGCTCTAAGCTATGCATATTTGGGCATAGTTTGGGAAAGCCTCAGAAGAAAAAAAAACACGCATTCCAAAGGGAAAAAGGTAAATATATGGAAATATTTTGCTTGGAACCCACGACTTTTTATTCGGGACCCACGATTTTTTACCCACGACCCACGCCTTTTTACTCACGACCCACGCCTTTTTACCCACGACCCACGCCTTTTTACCCACGACCCACGCCTTTTTACCCACGACCCACGCCTTTTTACCCACGACCCACGCCTTTTTACCCACGACCCACGACTTTTTACCCACGACTTACGACTTTTTACTCATGACCCACGACTTTTTACCCACGACCCACGACATTCTACCCACGACATTCTACCCACGACCCACGACTGTTAGCTAGTCCCAGTGCACGCTATGTAGATGAAAATACTACCATTCGATTCAGTATAAAAATATACACTAATTTATAACGATAGTTTTAGTCAGTGGCTAAATTGTAGCGATTTATGAGCTTTGAAAGTCAAGCGAGCTTGGTATTTGATCAAATTACACAATATTACTAACAAATTATAAACATAGACATACCTTTCGCCGAACATAACTTCGGCCCCTTGAGATGCAAGCTCATTCTGGTAGTCTTGCTGAATGAAGCAGTTAAAAATAACACGTATACTGTTATTTTCAAGCTTCTATCTTTAAAATATGAGTTTTCTTGCCGAATTTTGCATTTCTGCCCCGAATTTGCGTTAATCCCAACCGGAAATACGACGAAAAACCGTCAAAACAATGCGAAGTTTGTATCGCGTGACTCTGGAAATGCCAGAAATGGATTCTACAGGTGAAAGTGCACCCCTACGCACTTGACGTCATCCCGGCTAAAGGGAGCTCCTTATTGGCCAAGTATTACGTAATACAATTGCGTGCGAGTAAAACCCGATACCTTGAAAAATTCAAAATAAATATTTCTACTCGCCGTATTCATACAAAACTTTCTATACGAAAGCGCTTGAATACAAAGAGTATTTTACACATATATCCTTTCAGAAAATGACACCAAAGTTTAGAATCTATTCAACTTTTTCTCTTTTTCTCGTTTGAATGTTTGGCGAA